GTTTATAAAAGACTGATACAGGAATATTCTTAGCTACTTTGTGATAACCCAAACTGGAGGTAAGCCAGACATCTATTAGCAAGTGAACAGACAGATTTACCCATTATGTGCATCTGCACAACTGAATACTAAGTTAGGTACAAGAACGAACTATTGGCTGGGCACAGTGGCTTATGCATATAATCTCAGCACTTTGGGAGGCTGAGGTGGGTGGATCACCTGAGGTCAGATTAAGACCAGCCTGGCTAACATGGTGAAACCCCATCTCTACTAAAAATACAAAAGTTAGCCAGGTATGGTGGTGTGCATTTGTAATCCCAGCTACTCAGGAGGCTGAGGCATGAGAATCGCTTGAACCTGGGAGGCAGAGGTTGCAGTGAGCTGAGACGGCACCACTGCACTCCAGCCTGGGTGACAGAGTGAGACTCCGTCTCGGAGGGGGGAGGGAAGGATGGTCGTGGTGGCTCATGCCTGTAATCCTAGCACTTTGGGAGGCCAAGCGGGTGGATCACCTGAGCTGAGGAGTTCAAGACCAAGTCGGGCAACACGGTGAAATCCCGTCTCTACTAAAAATACAAAAAAATTTAGCTGGGCAAGGCAGCTTGCACCTGTAGTTCCAGCTACTTGGGAGACTGAGGCAGGAGAATCAGTTGAGCCCGGAGGCAGAGGCTGCAGTGAATGGAGATCGTGCTATTGCACTGCAGCCTGGATGACAGAGTGAGAATTCTTCTCTTAAAAAAAAAAAAAGAGGCTGGGGACGGTGGCTCATGCCTATAATCCTAACACTTTGATACTTTGGGAAGCCAAGACGGGTGGATCACCTGAGGTTGGGAGTTCAAGACCAGGCTGACCAACATGGAGAAAACCCAACTCTACTAAAAATACAAAAAAAAAAAAAATTTGAAGAGAAATAAAAGAGACAGAGTTCGTCAACACACCCTGGTAAAGTTAAAGGACCAGGGTATAAGAAGAATGTGCTGTACAGGCAGAATGCAGGGGCACTGGATCTAGAAGTGATCTTAGGGAACACGGAGTCGCAGAAGAGCAAGGAGATGCCATTTCTTGCTCAACTCCAGTCCACTGGCAGCAGTCACCTAGAAGGCTGCTTGCACATAACTCAGTGGGAAAAAACGCCATGAGTGACTGTAGGTGTCTGCTGTGTACATGAGAAGGAAGGGAAGGGCCCAGTATTTGACATGCTTGAGATCTAACCCCTTCATTTTCCATGTGACAAAATCTAGAGCCAGGGAGGTGAGCTAACTGGCTTCGGGGTCACATTGTGAGCTGGCAGTAGAATGTGGCAGGTGATCTGACTCTCAGAAGAACATTCCTCTAAGCCAGGGGCTGGCCAAAAATGGACTAAGGTCCACATACGGCTCATGAGCTCAGCATGGATTTCATTTTTTAATTTTTTGGAGACAGAGTCTTGCTCTGTTGCCCAGGCTGGAGTGCATTGGTATGACCTTGGCTCAGTGTGACCTCCACTTCCCAGGTTAAAACGATTCACATGCCTCAGCCTCTCAAGAAGCTGGGATGACTGTCATGTTTCACCGTGCCTGGCTAACTTTTTTGTGGGGCACAGCGTCTCACTCTTTTGCCCAGTCGGGAGTGCAGTGGCATGATCTTTGCTCACAGCAACTTCCGCCTTATGGGTTCAAGTGATCCTCCAGCCTCAGCCTCCTGAGTAGCTGTGACCGCAGGTACACACCCCACACCCAGCAAATATTTTGTTTTTAGTACAGACCAGGTTTCACCATGTTGGCTAGGCTGGTCTCAAACTCCTGGCCTGAAGCAACCCGCCGGCCTTAGCCTCTCAAAGTGCTGAGATTACAGACATGAGCCACAGCGCCCAGCCAGATTTCATATTATTAATGGTGAAAAAAATCAAAACAATATTACATGACAGATGCTAATTCTGTAAAATTTAAGTTTTAATGTTTCTAAATACATTTTTACAGGAACACAGTCACACCCATCGATTTCTGTATTATCTAAGGCTGCTTTTCCACTACTCAGAAAGAGACAGGTATTTTTGACAAAGACCATATGGCCCAGAATGCTGAAAGTTTCCAGAAAAAGTTTCTTACTCGCACTTTCTTCCAGTGTCTCTTGAACTTTAATGTCCATACACACCACCTAGAGAACTAGTTACAGTTCAAATTGTTTCAGTGGATCTGGGCTGAGGCCTAAAATTCTACACTGTTAATAAGCACCAGGTGATGCCATGGCTGCTGGTCGACAGACCACACTTTGAGTAGTGAGGATTAACTCCAGTGTGTCTCTACATGTCGACCTGAACCAGCAGCAGCAGTACCTGGGGATGTGTTAGGAATGCAGATTCACAGGCACACCTAGACCTGCTAAACTGAAAATCTGAGTGGGGCCCAGAAAGCTGCATTTTATAGTAACAAGCTATCTGCCAACACAGTGGCTCATGCCTGTAATCCCAGCACTTTGGGAGGCCGAGGCAAGTGGATCACCTGAGGTCAGGAGTTTGAGATCAGCCTCGCCAATATAGTGAAACACCATCTCTACTAAAAATATTTTTTAAATTAGCCAGGTGTGGTGTTGCATGCCTGTAATCCCAGCTACTCAAAGGCTAAGGTGGAAGAATCGCTTGAACCCAGGAGGCAGAGGATGCAGTGAGCCAAGATCACACCACAGCACTCTAGCGTGGGAAACAGAGTGATACTCCATCTCAATCAATCAATCATCCAACCAAATATATTAAGCTATCCAGGTGATTCTGATGCAGGCTTGAATTTGAAGACCATCTCTCCTGCAGGTCCAAACTCTCAGAGATTTAAGGTAAGACTAAGAAAATTCAATGTCAGCATTAGCACACTTTGACAAATGCTGAAAAGGCTAGAATTTCCTTAAACATTTCACCTGCAACTCGGCAAACATGAAGCAGGTGGTAGTTTAACAAATAAGTTTCATATTTATAAAAATGTTTAACGCTGCTTCACAGAAAAATTTGTCAACCTGACCAAGAAGGAATAGTTGTAATGAGCACAACATTACAAAAAGAATGACACAGTTAATAATAAGACGGAAAAGACATGGGGCATCATCTGAAATCATCCTTCACCATTAACTGTTTTTAACTGTGCTTTAAAGGGAATTTCCATAGTCCATCTCTATATGGTCTCCTGATATGGGGCCAGCTTTGTAAAATGGTACATTACACTGTCTTTTTCTTTTTTTAAGATGGAGTTTCGCTCTTGTTGCTCAGGCTGGGGTGCAATGGTGTGACCTCAGCTCACTGCAACATTCGCCTCCTGGGTTCTAGTGATTCTCCTGCCTCAGCCTCCTGAGTAGCTGTGATTACAGATATGAGCCACCACACCAGGCTAATTTTGTGTTTTTAGAAGAGACGAGGTTTCATCATTTTGGTCAGGCTCATCTCGAACTCCTGACCTCAGGTGATCCACCCCCGCCTCTGCCTCCCAAAGTGCTGGGATTACAGGTGTGAGCCACTGTGCCTGGCCTGCACTGTTGTCTTTAAACTTTCAAAGCCAGCTAGGCAGGGATAGACCTGTCACCATACCCCAGGACAGGCATCAGAATACTCAGTGTAGCATGGATCATAATAGTAAAAAACAGGGAACAACCTGTTTTTTTGCAATGAATGGGAGAAAGGTAGTTCTAGCAGGGCACATCCACATGCAGACAAGCATGTATCATGAACACAAATGAAGCAAGTTAGGCATGGCTGTGGTGCACCTGCTGTCCCAGCTACTTGGGAAGCTAAAGCAGGAGGACTGCTTGAGCCCAGGAGTTCGAGGCTGTAGTGAGCTGTGATCACTACTGTACTCCAGCCTGGGGGACAGAGCGTGAACCCATTTCAAAACCAAAACTAAAAATAAAAATAAAAAAGTAAAAGCAGATCAGAAGGAACCCAGATGATATACTATTAACTACACAAAGAGAACTCTATGTACACTATGATCCCATTTAAAAAATCTGCCAGAATATTTTTTAAAAGCCTATATGCTTATACAGTTTTTTCTAAAAGCATGCACAAAACTGTTACTTTGGAGGAGAGGAACTGATGGAAGAGAAGACAATATATATACTTTTATATCTTTATGGTTTTTTTTCCTACAGTGGATGACAAGTATTTGTTCAACACCTGCTGTGCATTGTTTTATGTACTGAGGATACAGCAGCCCACCTGGAGCTGACATTCTAGTGGGGAAAGAAAGTAAGTGTACTTTAAAAAATTCTTACTTTTAATTTTTTCTTTTTCTGGAACAGGGTCTTGCTCTGTTGCCCAGGCTAGAGTGCACTGGCTCAATTTTGGCTCACTGCAACTTCTGCCTCCCATATTCAAAGGATTCTCATGTCTCAGCCTCCTGAGTAGCTGGGATTATAGGCATGCATCACCATGCCCAGCTAATTTTTTTTTTTTTTTTTTTAAAGCAAAGACAGGGTTTTGCCAGGTTGGCCAGACTGGTCTGGAGCTCCTGGCCTCAAGTGATCCACCTACCTCGGATTTCCAAAGTGCTGGGATTACTGGTGTAAGCCACCATACCCAGCCCAAAATAAGTAAATTTTAAGAGTGTGTTTAGACCATGCCATATCTGTGGTCTAACCACACTTGAAATGTGGTCTATAAGACACTGACAATCCACACTTTGTGACCAGTTGGTGATAATATGAGGAGGCAGAACCGTAATGGAGATCAGCTATGGCACCAAGTGTGCCATTCAGCTCAGCTCACATTTTTGTTTTCTTACAAGGCTTTCTTAATGCAGGAAGCAGAAGGCACTGGTTTCCATCCTGGCACAAATGCCTTAGCCTGCCATGTTGGCAGAACTAGGTTCCTCAATTGTTTAAATGTTGAAATACTTCCTTATTACCATGGAAACAGCCAGTGCCTCAGGTACCTTTTACAATGAACTCTCGCTCTCTGTGATCTGGGCACTAAAGGGTTAATTCCTGGCACTACAGGGGTCCCCCCCGGGCCTCTGCCTGTTGAATAATGTCCTTGTCAAACTGGTTATCTATTTTGAATATCACCTCTTCTTGCAGTGCTAGGGAACCAGGGGGCTGTGCCATTTCCCTCCTGCAGTTTCTTGCATCCTGGTCCTGGGAAAGTTAGCTTAACACAGCAGAGATACTGTTATCTGGGCTGGGTTTTACCCATTGCTGCTGGTACAGGATGCTGGCTTGGGCCCAGTGCCCTCAGTGGATGGCGCTCTCTGCACAGCTGCAAATCACTGTTCCTGTCCCAAGGGGCTGAACTCCAGATACCACCTGCCCCTCAACAAGACAGCCTGTTAATGGCCTCTGCAGAGCAGATCTACTTTCTGAGCATCCTGGCTGCCTGGTGCTCTGCTGTCTCCTCCCTGAAGTGGCCAGTTTTTCTTGACCCTGGTTTTAGCATCTGGCTCATATAACTCCCCTTCCCTCCTTTGTCTCTTTTTGCCAGGGGTCATGGCCATCAGCGGTCCAGGGAAGAAAGCAAAGCAAATGGAGAATGGCATGCTGTGACAGACAGTGCGGGGAAGCAACTACAGAGGTAAGTGGGGGGAGGTGGTGTGACTCACATAGGCCTCATGATTTCACCATCTGCCCATGCTTCTGACACTCGAGTTCCCTACATGGTGTGGGTCTTTGTTTATGTCACTCGGGAGGGCCTGGAAGGTTCAATCTTTGTGAAGCAGCATTTGATATAAAACTATCTCAAGGCCAGGAATGGAGGCTTATGCTTGTAATCTCAGCACTTTGGGGGGTCGTGGCAGGAGAATCACGTGAGGCCAGGAGTTTGAGACCACCATGGGCAACATAGCAAGACCCCATCTCTACAAAAAAGGAAGTATCCTTGTGTTTGATTATAGAGGGCTTCCTTAGATCCCTGGGGATTTATAGCATATGCAGTATGTTAACCATGCTTTAAAAAACTGGCTAAGTAGGCTGGGATGGTGGCTCGCATCTGTAATCCCAGCACTTTCGGAGGCTGAGGTGGGTGGATCACCTGAGGATAGGAGTTCAAGACCAGTCTGGCCAACATGGTGAAACCCTGTCTCGACTAAAGATAGAAAGATTATCCAGGCATGGTGGCAGACACCTGTAAATTCTAGCTACTCAGAAGGCTGAGGCACGAGAATCATTTGAACCTAGGAGGCAGAGGTTGCAATGAACTGAGATTGCGCCATGGCACTCCAGCCTGGACAACAGAGTGAGACTCTGTCTCAAAAAACAAAACAGCAAAAGAACAACAAACATTGACAAAGTCAGAGCCTAAACATACTGGACCCTGGGATTTGACAAAGGATGGTGGACCTGCAGTTGCTGTAGGGGTCAGGAGAGGGCAAAGATGATGTGGCCTAGCACTGTGCCTTGGTACATGTCGCTTTTGCCATTGTTACCGATTCCAGACAGTGCATGAGCGCAGAAGGATGTAAGATTTTCAACCGAGGTGCTAGCTTGGATTTGTGAAGCCCTAGGTCATGAAGCAGGAAGCCCCAGCACCTCACCTGAATTCTAGATTTCATCCAGAGTTGGTTCTTATTCTTCCCTCTGCTACTCCCCGAAAACCAACACTTGCTTTTGGATTTGAGGGCCACTTCCACCTGACTTGGCCTTAACCAAAGACCTTTGCACAGATCTCATGAGTAAGGAAAGGTTACCCACCCCCAGGCCTTAGATTAAAGAGGGGAGGTTTATTTGGCCTTCAGGAAGTGTTTTCAGGGGACACAGTTTTGGGGGTGCAGTGATGAATCACATGGGGCTCTTGACCTCAGGTAGCCTGTAATCTTGTTCACGAGATAAGTAGGTAAAGGAAGGCATAGAAAGTTCCATGGCAAAGAGCCACGTCTGTGTTTTCCATGGCCTCCATAATTTCTTTTTTGGGATGAAGTCTCCCTCTGTTGTGCAGGCTGGAGTTGAGTGTGCAGTGGCACCAACTCAGCCACTGAACACAAAACTGTGGGCAGTGCAGTCTGTGATGTTCTCTGGTGTCTGCATAAAGATAATGACCACTGATGTACAGAAAGTCCTTTTTTTTTTCTTTTGAGACAGGGTCTCTGTTGCTGAGGCTGGAGTGCAGTGACACAATCATGGCTCACTGCAACTTCTGCCTCCTGCATTCAAGCGATTCTTCTGCCTCAACCTCCCTAGTAGTTGGGACTACAGGTGCCTGCCACCATGCCTGCCTAATTTTTGTATTTTCAGTAGATACAGGGTTTCACCATGTTGGCTGGGCTGTTATTGAACTCTTGGCCACCAGTGATCTGCCTGCCTTGGCCTCCCAAAGTGCTAGGTTTACAGGTGTGATCCACCGCAGCCAGCCAAAAAGTGCTTTCTGAGTAACATGCTTGCATGAAGTTGCAGCCAGGACAAGATCCCACCCCAACCCCCACTACCTTTGTAAAACAAGAAAATTGAAAGAACTAGGTACCTTTCCCTATTTTTTTATCTTGTTTCATATTTCGAAACTTTTTCATGTTTGAAAGATGATCTAAGACGTGCCCTTTCTGTTTTATCTTTTATTTGAAATCAATTAGAATTGCTCTTAAAAAAAAAAAAAAAAAAAGCATGCACTTTTTGCATATCAGTGGTCATGGGCTTTTTGCAGACCCCCAGAGATCATCACAGATTGTGTTTTCCACAGGCCTCATTCCTGCCTGAGACATTCCCTTTCTCTGTGGACCTATAACCCTGGGGAATGACCTGGCAGTGGGGGTTGCACATGTGCACATGTTCATATATATGTTTACATGTGTGCCTGTCCAATTGACATCCCTGTGCTTTCCTTCTCCAGATAGCTCAGCAGCTCCTCCTCCTATAGCGGGGACATCAGTAGGCACCATAACAGCACCACAGAGCTGCAGAAAGCCAAAACCAAGGAGGAGGAGACTTGGAAGCTGATGGAGGCCAACACGGCACAGACAGGGCAGGTGAGATTTGCTCCTTCAGTGATGATGGTGGCTGTAGCTTACAGAGCACCCACTGTGCAAAGTGCTTGTCTATAATACACCATAAAGGTACTATTTACTGCACCAGAAACTGAGGCCAGAGAGGTTTTAGTGACTTACCCAAGGTCACTGCTTTTCGGGGATACAGACACTCACTACCACGCCTAGATAATTTTTGTCTTTAGTAGAGACAGGATTTCACCATGTTGGCTAGGCTGGTCTTGACCTCCTGGTCTCATCTTCCCTCACCCTCCCAAAAATGCTAGGATTACAGGTGTGAGCCATTGCACCTGGCCTGTTTTTCATTTCTCATTTAGTCCTTATGATTATGTCCCTGAGAAAGTCTCAGTTGGGTCCTAGGCTGCTTTTGGTACCTAACAGCTGCTAACCTCTCTTTGTAACAAGGAGAGTGGGTTTCAAGCTCCTGTTTTGTTTTTTTTATTTTTTAAAGATCATCTGTTTTGGGCAAGTGTTAATAATTCTCCATTTATGATAGTGATCCAAAGTTTATTTAAAAAAAAATGTGATTATATTTCTTAAAAAATAGGGAATGGAATTTTTAACGGTAAAAAATAAGCATACAGATAACAAAAAACCCATGAAAAGTGGTAGCGGGGGAATGAGGCTGGGACACTTTCTTTTAGATCTGCTCTATTGTCATAATTAAAAGAACTAGAGGAGCAAGATCAAACAAATTCAAATGCTAGAGGAAGACAAATAACTAAGTTCAGAGCAGCACTGAAGGAGATAGACACAAAAAACCCTTAAAAAAAAAAAAAAAAAAAAAAAAAAAAAAAAAAAAAAAAAAAAAAAAAAAAAAAAAAAAAAAAAAAAACCAGTGAACCCAGGAGGTAGTTTTTTGAATGGATCAACAAAATAGACCACTAGTCAGACTAATAAAAAAGAAAAGGAAGAATAATAGATGCAATAAAAAGTGATAAAAGGGTATCTCACCACTGATCCCACAAAAATAAAAACTACCATCAGAGATTACTACAAACACTTCTTGCAAATAAACCAGTAACTCTAGATGATATGGATAAATTCCTGGACATGTACACCCCCCAAGACTAAACCAGGAAGAAGTTAAATCCCTGAATAGATGAATAACAAGGTCTGAAATTGAGGCAGCAGTTAATAGCCTGCCAAACAAAAGTCCAGGACCAGATGGGTTCACAGCCGAATTTTACCATAGGTAAAAAGAGGAGCTGGTACCATTCCTTCTGAAACTATTCAAAACAATACAAAAAGAGTGAATCCTACCTAACTCATTTTATGAAACCAGCATCATCCTGATACCAAAACCTGGCAGAGACACAACTGAAAAAAAAATTTCAGGCCTATATCCATGATGAACATTAATGGGAAAATCTTCAATAAAATACTGGCAAACTGAATCCAACAGCACATCAAGAAGCTCCATCATGATCAAGTCAGCTTCATCCCTGAAATGCAAAGCTGGTTCAACATATGTAAATCTGTAAACATAATCCATCACATTAACAGAACCGAGACAAAAACCATGATTATCTCAATAGATGCAGAGAATGCATTCGACAAAATTGAACAGCCCGTTATGCTAAAAACTCTCACAAACTAGGTATTAATGGAAGGTATCTCAAGGTAAGAGCTACTTATGATAAACCCACAGACAATAATGTAGTGTATAGGCAAAAACTGGAAGCATTCCCTTTGAAAACCGGCGGCACAAGAGAAGGATGCCCTCTTTCACCACTCCTACTCAACATAGTATTAGAAGTTCTGGTCAGGGAAATCAGGCAAGAAAAAGAAATAAATGATATTCAACTAGGAAAAGAGGAAGTCAAATTGTCTCTATTTGCAGATGACATGATTGTATATTTAGAAGAGCCCATCGTCTCAGCCCCAAATCTCCTTAAGCTGATAAGCATAATCAGCAAAGTCTAAGAATACACAATCAATGTGCAAAAGTCACAAGCATTCCTGTATACCAACAGACAGCCAAATCATGACTGAACTCCCGTTCACAATTACTATAAAGAGTAAAATATCTAGGAATACATCTAACAAGGGATGAAAGGACCTCTTAAAGGAGAATTACAAACCATTGCTCAAAGAAATAAGAGAGGAAACAAACAGATGGAAAAACATTCCATGCTCATGATCAGGAAGAAACAATATTGTGAAAATGGCCATACTACCCCAAATAGTTTATACATTCAATGCTAACCCATCAAGCTACCATTGACTTTCTTCACAAAATTGGAAGAAACTACCTTAAACTTCATATGTAACCAAAAGAGAGCCTGCATAGCCAAGGCAATCCTAAGCAAGAAAACAAACAACAACAACAAGCTAGAGGCATCATGCTACCTGACTTCAAACTATACTACAAGTCTAGAGTAATCAAAACAGCATGGTTCTGATACCAAAACAGAGATATAGATCAATGGAATAGAAGAGAGGCCTCAGAAGTAACGCCACACATCTACAACCATCTGATCTTTGACAAACCTGACAAAAACAAGCAATGGGGAAAGGATTCCCTGTTTAATAAATGGTGTTGGGAAAACTGGCTAGCCATCTGCAGAAAGCTGAAACTGCATCCCTTCCTTACACCTTATACACAAATTAACTCCAGTTGGATTAAAGATTTAAACATTAGACCTAACACCATAAAAACCCTAGAAGAAAATCTAGGCAATACCATTCAGGACATAGGGATAGGCAAGAACTACATGACTAAAACACCAAAAGCAATGGCAACAAAAGCCAAAATAGACAAGTGGGATCTAATTAAGAGCTTCTGCACAGCAAAAGAAATAATCATTAGAGTGAACTGGCAACCAACAGAATGGGAAAAAATTTTGCAATCTACCCATCTGACAAAGGGCTAATAACCAGAATCTAGAAAGAAATCAAACAAATTTACAGGAAAAAACAACCCCATCAAAAAGTGGACAAAGGATATGAACATGCTTCTTAAAAGAAGACATTTATGCAGCCAACAAACATGAACAAAAGCTCATCATCACTGGTCATTAGAGAAATGCAAATCAAAATCACATTGAGATACCATCGCATGTCAGTTAGAATGACGATCGTTAAAAAATCAGGAGACAACAGATGCTGGAGAAGATGTGGAGAAATAGGAATGCATTTACACTGTTGGCAGGAGTGTAAATTAGTTCAGCCACTGTGGAAGATAGTGTGGCAATTCCTCAAGGATCTAGAACTAGAAATACCATTTGACCCAGCTATCCCATTACTGGGTACATACCCAAAGGATTATAAATCATTCTGTTATAAAGACACATGCACACACGTTTATTGTGGCACTGTTTACAATAGCAAAAACTTGGAACCAGCATAAATGCCCATCAGTAAATGTGGCACATATACACCATGAAATACTATGCAGTCATAAAAAAGGATGAGTTCATGTCCTTTGGAGGGACATGGATTTAACTGGAAACTATCATTCTGAGAAAACTGACACAAGAACAGAAAACTAAACATTGCATGTTCTCACTTACAAGTGGGTGTTGAACAATAAGAACACGGACACAGGAAGGGGAACATTACACACTGGGGCCTGTCAGGAGGAGAGGTGGGTAAGGGAGGGATAGCAGGGGATGGAGGGATTGGGGAAGGATAACATTAAGAGAAATATCTAATGTAGATGATGGGGATGGATGCAGCAAACCACCATAGCACGTGTATACCTATGTAACAAACCTGCACGTTCTGCATATGTACCCTAGAACTTAGTATAATTATTAAAAATAAATAAATAAATAAATCAGATGCAGCCTTGTTATGTTGCCCAGGTGGTTCTCAAACTCCTGGGCTCAGGCAACCTCAAACTCCCAAGTAGCTGGGACTATAGGTGTATATCACAACACCCAGCTATTTTTTTCTACAATTTTTAATATTTTACTCTCACTACAGAACCAATAATATAAGTAGGGGGACAATCCTACCACGTATATAATACCCAAATAATAAGTGTCCAAGAAAAACATCTATATGCTATTTGTTGTACAGTTTTTTAACTAAAAGGTGCCAGGGAGATTCGTCATTACCACAAGTAATTTGATACACTGAAGATTTATACTGGCAAACATATAGATGTCAGACTAGTATGATTTAAAAGTCATAGTATTAAAATTTATCTAATTAAACCTTAACCAAATTTCGTATTTTCTCTATTGGGGAAAGCATTTCCTAATGTGATTTTTCTGTTGCTATGTATATTCCAGTTCATTTTTGTTCAGCCCACACCCTGTCACAGTACTCATCAATATTTTGTTAGTTACCAACATTAAATAAAATTTTTAAATCAACTAGCCATATGTCTATGGTTTTCTCTTACCAACTTTGTATTACCAACATATAAAAAGATATAAAAGATAAACAACTGCTAAATTTTAAAAGTAAATACTGTGCAAAAGTTGACTGAGTGAGAAAATTTTGCAAGAGACCACTTTACCTTGGTAATAAGTCAAGTCTTCATCATCTGGTTTAGGGCATGAATCCACACAGTTACTGGAAAATGCTTTAGAGCAAAAATATACAATAAAAATGAGCAAGTTGTTGTTTTGTTGTTGTTGTTGTTGTTAATTTTTTAACTGCTAGTTCATATTCAGCTTCCCCCTCCAAAAAACAAAAACAAAATCTGGGGAAAGATCAGTCAGCCATCTGTATATTAAATAACATTTCTTGATACAATTAAAACATGGCCTCTGTTCTAAAAATAGATTTCGGTTACCTATTTCTGCCTCCAGCTGTCTAAATCTATAAAATATTCAATGAAAACTGACCTTGAGCTCCGTAACAAATAGTGACAGCCAATATATTGGCAGAGCTTGACAATAATTTAGCCTCACAAATTATCTGTCCTGAAGCAGAACATGACATTCAATTAATGGATGACATAAGTTTTGTCACCTAAACCAGAAGGAACCTTGTGACCTAAAACAAGGTAGAAAGATCCACTGTCCCTTGTCCATTATCTATCTCTAGTTAAAAGACTAATGTGTGTCACTTCAAAACGGCAGTCTTGATTCCTCAGCATGAAAACTACTTAAGAAGGTCCCAATGCTTTCCTTTGTCCTAAAAGAGTACAGAGAATCCCCTGCTGTATTTGAAATGTGTGAGAGCTAAATGTACAAAAGTCTAATAACAAAGGTGTATTTTCTTATTGAGGATACTCTTCCCAGAAAGATTAAAACATTAACCATTTTTAAAATCCAATTATTTTCACTCTATAGGTCCTACTTTATTCAAGTCCACATAAACTAGTAAGCCCTTAAAAACCTTCATAGGCACTCAGATATCCAATGAGAGAGACTGCTGGAAGAACAGAGTCCTGGCAGTTGTACCTCTATTTCCCTAAGTACTATCTAAATATCTTCCTTCCTATGGGTTCCCACTTCTAGATTCCACTTATGCAGGGCTCCATGGCAGTTTCCAATAATCTTCAAATCTTCAGTCTATGAGATCACAGATTCCTGAAAGTATGGCCTCAAATGACCAGGAGTGGGAGCGCTCTATATCCTGCTCCTGAATAACAATCTAGCTGGAGTCTCGACTAACTACCAGCACAGACACCCCTCCAACTACCCAGCTGAACTTCATGACTGATTTGACAGCCAACGATGCCCCTGACCCAGCCTGCATGGCTATGGGAAGGATATCAGTGATTTGGGAAAAGAGGCAGAGATGAGGAGACACCTGCCCTGGGCCACAGATCTATGTAGTTCAGCAATCTCCAGCCCATCAGTACTCAAGGGGCTCTAAGCCACTCCTCTGTAAGTCAGGATGGAATTAGATGATACCACATTTCTGTCTGCTGTAGAGACTCCTCCCAGTGTCTCCAAATTTTTAGCATCTTACAGCAAAAATCTTCAAGTTTGTCAGTTCTTGATTTAAAAACAGCACAGCAATCTGTTTAGAGTTTCCCTGAACCCTCTATTTTAATGTGCCTTTGTAGTTAATTCACAGTATCTTGTGTCCTTAATCTTTATAATTTATCAGACTTGTCATAAATCCCAATATTCTAATCTCTTATTGAATAATCTGTATCCAGTGTCATTTCTCTTCAAACTTGGCCTTCCCCTGCTCATTCCATTCTTAGCCATTTCCATTGGGTTCACCAGCTAATTCCCTTCTCATTCTATCCACTGGGTGCACCAGACCCACTCCCACTTTGTATTAAAACACATGCCAGGCCAGGCTCATACCTGTAATCCCAGAACTTTGGGAGGCTGAGGCAGGCAGATCACCTGAGGTCAGGAGTTTGAGACCAGCCTGACCAACATGGAGGAACCCTGTCTCTACTAAAAAATACAAAATTATCTGGGCATGGTGGTGCATGCTTGTAATCCCAGATACTCAGGAGGCTGAGGCAGGAGAATCGCTTGAAGCCAGGAGGCAAAGGTTGTGGTGAGCCGAGATTGTTACTGCACTTCAGTCTGGCAACAGGAGCGAAACTCTGTCTCAAAAAAACCACCACCACACAACAAAAAACAAACAAAAAAACCTGCCAATGGAATAAAAAATGGAGGAAGCGTATTGGGCTTTAAAACAAGTTCAAATCTCATTTCTACCATGTCTTATGTCCAAAAATAAGCATCCTATCATATTGAAATATGGACACCAACAATAACATTTATGTCAATGCCTTCCATTCAATTTACAATAAAAAGAATTAGGAGTAAGAAGAATGTGAGTACTTCCAATCATTTAATGTACTTATTTCCAGCATTCCATTTATATTGAAAATGTACCTGCTCTCAATGTCTGTACATTCTTTCTTTGTACTTCTTCTCTCACAACAGGATCTTCCATTTCAGTGGTAGGCTGAATGGGTTTTTTAAGAAAATAACTAATAAATCGTGTATATTTTATACAATATATAGTAATTAAAAATAAATATATATATATAATTACCTTCAAGGAAGGATGTTATTCAGGAGGCCCTACAAAGCAAAGGGGACATGTCATCAATTATATGTAGGTATGACCAGGCTAACAAAACATTTACGCAGTGTTAGTATCAAGCTGAGTCCTCATGCCTGGCTATGAAAATAATTACTTAAGGTTTCGAGGGTTCTTTTTGGCATCTTTTTATTGCCTAGGACAGCATCGTGATGGAAATATACTGAGTAAAATAGGAATATAGGATCCCTAAATCACAAAGTTTATTTTTCAAAAGTGAGATCTTTTCAAACGCCTATAACTAAAATAGAAAAGTATGGATATTAACGTGAACACATTGGGCTGATAAGGATAAAAGGGACCATTCAACAGTGGAGCAAATTATAACAGAGAATCAATGTCAAGGCTGATGGTGAATGCTACAGAGTATTTAAACTTGAAACATCAGAGGCATTGATGCCAGAACACCACAAATATTTATCATGTGCTTCCCCTTGTCCTGTCACTTAGGAAATACACAGTTGGGATGCCAGTTCAGGTGAATGTGTGATTCACCTCTCATCAAAGAAAGTGTTCTAAATTGATCAGCTATGATACACACTTATAACAGTTTCTCAAAATTCTCATTTTCCCATGCCCACGTGGCTACTGAAGCACCTACATTTCTCATATCCTCTTGTTTGACCTTAAGAGTTCCTTGATCCACTCAATGCAAGACTTAAAACACATCAAATAAACCATATAGAATAAGCTTTCAATATCAAAATATGTATCAAAAGAGAAAACATTGAATTGCCAGTCTTGACAGAAAAGAATAAATGTTTATATTTCAAGATCAGTGCAGTATTCTTAGAAAATAACAATTTTGGTCGTCACAGAATGAATTTTATAATATGATCCCTTCTAAAATTAGCTAAGTTTGGCATGTAATTTTACTCTGTAAATGACTTTTATAAAAACAGCTATCATATCAAAGAACTGGCTGGACCCCCCCCCCAAAATTAGCCAAAATGCAACTTAATCACATCTTATTCACTTATAGCAATGAAACTTCTTGCTCTGAGGCCTGACAGTTATGAAGAGAAATTAACTGCTGTGGTTTACCCTAATTCTAGCATTCCCTCCAGCCTCCAGTACTCTCCACAGCAATAACTGCTTTTGTTAGACTGGGCATATGCCCAAGGAACTGGAAGTGAGGTGTCTCAAGTTTCCTTGGTTTTAACTCCAAAGTCCCCCAACAAACTTTCTTTTCTTCACTCTTCCTTACCCTTTCCCAATCCTTCTTCCTTTGCAAAAGTAATCTTTAGATCTGTCATTCTAAGACCTAACTGCTTTTTATGGATAATTGCAAACACTTTTTTCATCTGTATTCAGCAGTAGTATACACCAATAATTTCTGTTTTCATCTCATTCTGCTTCCTCTGTGGCTAGAATCCTACTTCAGAAATAAAAGGAGATTAATGCCTTCCCTTGATCCTGTTATTTTTTTAAATTGCTGTCCAATGGTTCTTTTTCCAGATTTCTCTAAGGAAGGCTGTTTCCTTGTTATTCAGAGCTCTGTCCAAGGAACAGCACCAACTTGAGTACTCTTGAGAAGGGCAGAATCCCACACATGCTGAATGAGAATGTCCATTTTCCAGAAGCTCCTCAACTAATTCATGAAAATTTGGATGCCCTGTTCTACACTAATGTGCTTCCACATTTGTTTACCTTAATTGCCCATCTGGAACTTAGCCTCAGTTAAGTTCCTTCCCTATTAAGTCCCTGAATTTAATTCTGCATTATAAGCCATAATGTTTCTAATAAACTTTTAATCAGGCTATACCTTCTCTAATTTCCTCTCCATAAATCACATGACACTATTCAATTTTGTTAATTTGGTCTATATGATACTATCCGATGAAGTTATAACATTTTCTATAAA